TAAAAAGGGATTGTGTTTTTTCCGAAATCTAAGCGTTTTTTTTTTTTATTAGAAGCGAGTTTTTCCCCATCTGTCAAGAATTCAATCCAGATTATTTATTAAATTTTTTTTTTTTTTAAATTAAAAAACAATAAACAATAATATGAGGAACTCTTTTTCTCATGTGTATTTTGGTGACATTTAACATATTGTTAATACATTTTGTATACTGTTTACAAAGTTGCATATCATAAACCTGTCATCTTTGACGTTTGCAATCTTTATAAATAATAATAAGACCATAATATGAGGCATTGCGTTTGGACATAAACACGGTCAGATAAGGCAATTTGTATGGGCAAAATTCAACTGAATATATTCCTTCATATAGCCCGTGAGTTTTGGGGGTAGTGCCCTTTTTTCAGGTCAGAGCAACTGCCCCACAAAATTCCTGTGCACGTCCCTGGTCACGGGGGCGAACACTGGTAGCTTTGAAAGGATATAGGTGATGCGCGCCAGATGGCTTAGCAGAAGGCGATCGAAGGCGGCTGAAGGCGCCGGCGTCCTCGAAGCAGTCCTGATGTAGGCTTGTCGACGGCGGCGGCGAAAAGACTCCAAAAATCCGGAGGATCCAGCGAAGAGAAGGTCTTTGCTGAAGGAGATTAAATCTAAAGAACTCAGACGACGGGGCGCCCAATATATAGCCCTTGGCCATGCCCATCTTGGCGGGCTCTGACGCGCGCGGGCGCGAAGCACGCTCATTGGAAGCGGGTTCAGAGTCGCCCCGTCATAGGTTCGTGCAGTTGCCGCAGCACAGCCAATGACCGAGCTGCCTCGCTCATTGCTGTATGCTGTGCAGCTGCAATGCGTTTTACATAAAGACTTCAATATTTCTCGAGAAAAGGAGTTTTCCCATAGCGTAAGCTACTTACGCAATAGGAGGAACCTCTCGAAAGGGAACTATCGCTACTTCCGTTTCATGCTGACTTTTTAAAAGTAGCCTATAAAAAAGGCTACTATTTTACTGCAAACTGCAATATTTATCTAATAATAAACTACTCAAACTACTGTTTTTCCATCCATTCACAAGATTGTTTCTATAATGTGCAGTGGTGACTTATGTGCCAGAATGATATTCTAAAATTATTAATGTAAAATAGTGACGTTTTCTTTTTAAAGAAAAAGGGTTAACAGAAGGAAATATCCAAAATAATAAACAATAACCAAATGACGAGTCCATATACTTAACTTCAGAACTATATTGAGCACAACAAAGTGCACATGAAAACATTCCAGATCATAATTTTATTTTTTGTAAGAAAAAAAACTTTATTTTTATAATTTACAATGGATAGCCAACAGTGTAACAGCAAAAACTGAAGAATAAATAAAATATATAAATTATATATATATATTATGTTACATTTGTTTATAGCTTTCTTTTATATAAATAAATACTAGTCAAGCTGGTTACCAAACAGCACCACATGGAGATGCCAAAAGACCACAGCCACCTCGACCTTACTGCATATAGCTAACATGTGGATTTTGTTCAGAATTACTAAACACAGCAAAACACATACATGGTTTGTTTGCTCATTATTAATAATAACAGACTTGCATGTACCTAAGACTCTTGCATGTCACTGCAATCGTCTTTACCTAGAATACAATCTTTATGAAAACTTGTGGCTCGTTAGGGCGGATAAAATAATCTCTCTTTTTGGATTAGATTAGAGAACACTGATTGGCTGAATGAATTGTGTCATACCTTGAAATATGTTCATATCTTGAATCAGCAGTGAATTGCCTAAACTACTACATAGATGCACTTCCTGTGGGTGATCCTCTCTATATCACCCCAGAGCTTAACTTGAGACATGCGGACAGGCATATAGGGAATATACGGGCAGAGCATATATTTTGCACAGATGATTATCAATGATAATATGAGTAATTAATGAGTCATTTCAGTTTTATATTCATTCATAAATGAAAATATATACAATACTTATTCAAATCTAACTGCAGTATAGTCAGTGTTCAGTAAAACGTGAAAATATATGGTTGTGTTAAGCAGACAACTGACAGTTGAAAATCGGATTTTTTGTAACAATTTATGCAGAAAATCTAAAATCCAAGGGTTCACATACTTTTTCCTTCAACTTTATAAGGCATAGAACATTTCTGGAGAATAGTATACTTCATAATAAAGAAGGATTTATCTTTTTCAAGAGAATGTATACCAAAGGTTTATAAATAGAACAAAAACAAAAAACAGTATAGGATTTGTTTTTAACTTTAAAGGAACACTATGTAATTTTTCGCAGCTAGAGGTCGCTTATTTAAAACAAACGCATAGCTTGATAAACGTGAATTTGGCTCGAGAGAAGTGGAGCTTTTATTATGCAGCAGATGACCTCTTCCGCTTCTTCCGGTCATATATGTGGGGTAACAGTTTACATTTGAGTGTGTTGAAAGTTATGTTATAATGCTACTCTGTACGTTCGCTATTATGCAGCTACTATGAGACACTTGTTACACACTGCAGTAAGCTAGATCGATATTAGGTATGGTAAAACATGGTACTTGCGGTAAATCAAGAAAACGAGATTTAAACAATAAGACTAACTGTGTTGAGCTATATAAGAATGATTCGTTTTCTGTCAATGAATGTATTCAAACAATTGCTCACCTGTCTAATAAAACACATAATAGTTTAAAGTGTCTTTGGTGTTTCCATGATTTCTACAGAATAAATCCAGAAATTGAGGGTAATACTGGTATGATGTCATTAATAGGCGATGCATTGATTATTTCTATGGATTTAAACATTATTGGAAACATTTGGGATAATGGAATACACAGTCAACAAAACATATAACATTGTTCTAGTGGTTTTTAATCCAAAAATCTTACATATGCCTTTAAGGGGTCCTATTATGCTTTTTCACTTTTTCAACTTTAGTGTGTAATGTTGCTGTTTGAGCATAAAAAAGATCTGCAAGGTTACAAAGCTCAGAGTCCACTCCAAAGGGAGATATTTTTTAACAGAATCCTCTTTTCAAGAACTACAACGAACAGCTCGTTTGGACTACAACGCATTTTTTACGGTTCTTGTGAAGTCACAATGTTATTCATTTAAAGGGTTAGTTCACCCAAAAATGAAAATTCTGTCAGTATTTACTCACCCTCATGTTGTTCTAACCCCGTAAGACCTTCGTTCATCTTCGGAACACGAATTAAGATATTTTTGATGAAATCTGAGAGCTGGATCACTCCTCCATAGGCTTCTTCAGGGATTGAACTTGCCGGCCTCGAAAAGTTATTAAAGACATCGTTAAAATAGTCCAAGTGACTACAGTGGCTCAATCTTAAATTTATCAAACGACGAGAACACTTTTTGTGCGCAAAACAAAACAAAAATAACGACTTTATTTCAACTATTCATTTCCTTCTCTGTGGGCCTCGAGTCAGTTCACTAGTGTAACAGCGTACGCTTCTGTTGTTGTACGTCACACGCATCACCCACATGACCAGCGTCGGCCAATAGTGAGCCTACGTGTGACGTAGCTCTACGCAATAACACTAGTTAAACTGACTAGAGGCCCAAAAAGAAAGGTAATGAATAGTTGAAATAAAGTCGTTATTTATGTTTGTTTTTGCGCACAAAAAGTATTCTCGTCGCATGATATACTTTAGATTGAGCCACTGTAGTCACTTGGACTATTTTAACGATATCTTTAATAACTTTTCGAGGCCGGCAAGTTTCACTCCCTGAAGAAGCCTATGGACTAGTATGAAGGAGTGATCCAGCTCTCAGATTTCATCAAAAATATCTTAATTCGTGTTCCGAAGATGAACGAAGGTCTTACGGGGTTGGAACAACATAAGGGTGTGTAAATACTGACAGAATTTTCATTTTTGGGTGAACTATCCCTTTAAATAATCTACGCCCACGGAAATCGCAAAAAAAAAAACGGGGCAATGCCTGGTTGAGTTGCGCTAGAGAAGATGAAGAGTGTTGTCTCTGTTTTTTTCCACATTGGGAAAAACTTTGTTCTAAGGCAGATGAACTTAGAGTGGTTAATTTATTTTTAAAACTGTTCCTGAACATTATAACCCCAACGTTTGTCTGTGTGCTGCAATTTTACGGAGAACAGCTTCCAGAACCTAAGAGAGTACAATGCAGGCTACGGACAAAAGCTTCTCCTGAAAGACGTAGCTGTTCCCACTTTGTCGGAACAATCTGTTAAAGCAACACTAAGTAAGAATAATTTAAAAAAAAAAATCAAAATCGTTTCAGTGGTTCATCAAGTCGTGACATGGTGAAATGCACTTATGCCACCGCTTTGCGGTCCTTTATCTGATATATCCACGCTATGTAAGATTGCCAGATCGGGTCGCGTTTCTGTAGTCCGAATGAGACATAACAAAACTACAAATAACATCAACACATTGGATAAGATCAAATCTATAATCTATAAAAAATTACAAAAAACATAGCACTCTGAAACGTCCTGTAAAATATGTGCTTGCAAAGTCTGTGCTTGAAATCCGTTCTGCGTGATCCTCTTGTTCGTTAACATTGTCGAGGTCTGAAGAGGGATTGAATTGGTTTAAAATTGACGCCATCCTTAATTATTTACATTAGAGAAGAACTCGCTTTTATGGAGGGGCGTGACATTTCCCCAACATGTGCTTCTCCGCTAAGCGGTGCCAATCACAACACACTGGACCAACAAACCAATTACAGCACATTACGTATTTTGGAGGGAGGGGCCTCATCGAAACAGGAACTAAATGGTACATTCGAGCCAGACTGGGGAGAGAAGAGCTGTAATACTGTAATAATATGTGAAAAATTAGGCTTTTTTTAACAATCAAGCATGAAAACATTGTAGTACACCCTAAAAACAAAATCAAGACTTAGTAAAAGGGCATAAAAAGGACCCCTTTAATTACAATCGACATTCACTTACTAAAACAGGCACAAAATAATATAAATCATTTTAGCAATCTAGGTAAAAAAAAAATATCAGAAAACAAACCTACAAGGTGATTCTAAAATGTTGTCATCAATGTCAAGATTTTTCAGGGTGGTCTGGCAACTGTGGATACAAATGACATTCCTGATATGGAGGTGGAGCTGATGAGTCAGACTGATGTGAAACTGAAGGACCAAATTGACCAGGAAGTCCAGCGTAACTAGGGGGAGCAAATTGACCCGGAAGTCCAGGGTAACCAGGAGCAGGAGACTGACTGAGAGGAGGTCCAGGGTAACCAGGAGCAGGATAATGACTCAGAGGAGGTCCAGGGTAACCCAGAGCACCACAATGACCAGGTGGTTCAACCATATTAAATGGTGGGGCAGATGGAGGCATAGGAGGTGGGTTGGGGTACGCATTGCCACCTGGTGGTTGATTCCAGATTCCAAAGTCACTGTTTGTAGCACTACTTACACCTGATAAAGACTGAAGAGGAAGAATCACTACTGGGAATTTGATCTCCGAAGCAAATGGCACATCCAGGCAGACCTAGGCACAAAAAACCAACACAAAAAAAAACACAACAACAAATTATTCAGTTAGGAGTGGTTAACAGAAACTTTTGTCTGTACAAGATGAGCTATCAGTACAGCCCTTGATTTTAAAGACAGTGAACATGTAAAGATACAGCTTTAAATAAAAAATACAACACAGATATGCCACTGCAACTTAATATCAGGAGTATTTGTGAGTAGGCCTAATTGCTCTACCACATGTCCTTTTACTTATGTTTTCATACACAATAAAACGTACAATACTGATGTATAACACAGCACTAAAATGTACATTTATGTATTAATAATTTTACAGCTGTACAAATGTTTACAAATCCTTATTTATGAATATTAAAATCGTGGCATTAATAGAAAATGTGAAGCTGACCTGTTGGTTAAGCATCTTGTTTAGATGCCATATTAGGAAAACCGTGCTGCCTTTCTGCTAGTGATATTAAACCAAACAAAATACAAAACTTTCAAAAACACTCAGCAATTTGATTATTTTATTGAGTGATAGGCAGTGGGTTTAATTAGGGACATTATTAATATATTTGCTATCTGCCGTCGTCTTCTCACCCTCTTAACCTGCTTTCCTTGTTTTTGCACGTAGCAAATGTGAAAAAAAACTTATTACATTGTTCAGTTTTCTCCCTGAACGATGATGTGAGTTACTATGGCAATTCTGATGCAGCATGAATGACCTACAATGGCAACATTTTTCACAATCACGATAGAAATTCAAAACACTGACTTAAACTTACTAGCAATAAGACAGCACGATCCTCCTAATATGCGGTCTAAAAAAGACAGTTACCCAGAACTCAACAGGGCATGACGTCAGCTTCACATTCTCCATTTTGATTCTTTTGTATTCAATTGTCATACCAATTGCATTGTTTTCAGTCGCATTTATTAAAATCGGTTAACATAAAAATGATAACATTTCACTCTGTTCTGTGACTTCTGCTGCAAATTAGTTTCGATTACATTGTTAAACAAGATTACACTTTAAACCCTTAATGTTTAAAACTGCGTAAACACATTGCAATAAACCAAATACACAAAATAATGTTCTTTTTAGAACCAACATATGACCCCTTTAATACCTATGTATTAACAATGAGACCTGGCTGCCCAATCTAATGTATTTGTTCATTTCATTGCAATTTTACTATTTGTCTTTGCTTTAGATGCTGAAACTCACCCTGAGTCTGTACTCAACCTTGAGTATCCTACAGTTTAGGATAGAGACGGTAAGGCTGGGAGGAATGGGCAGCACTTTGGTGACGGTTTTTCTTGAGTTTGGCTCAATAGGATCCCCTTCCTCTTTAAAAATGTCCTGTATGTGAAGTTTTCTCTTTCCTCTTGCGAAGAAACTGTGTTTTTCATACAGGCAGTATTTTGGCTTGATTGTACGGGATGAATTGTTCTGAACTTCAGCCAAAACTTTCAAGCCCTCTCCTGTAGTGAGACACAATAAGACAATTAGTTCAATTAAAATTACTTGGTGAATTATCACAAGAAACTATGATTCTGTCTATTTGGACAAAACAGGACTCTTAATTCAAAATCATGTTACATATGGGATATAAAAAAAATACACAATAAACAAATTAATAAAGAACTGTAGTGATAACATGATGATTGTACAGTATGTATACATTTTGTGCAAGCTCTGTAATAAGTCTATGCTACATTGAAAAAAAACAACCATAATAATTCTACAAGTGGTGCGTGGGTTCAGGGACTTATGGTTGTTTTCATGCCTAAAATGTGTAACTTTTTTGTCAATTATAACAATAGACATGATCTGAAACTCGAAAATGAAAAATGTCCATCCACCTCTCGCCTACTCCAGAGATGTTTGCGATTTTATAATCATTTCATCTTCTTACAAAGATTCAGAAATAGTTTGAATAAGACTCCCCTTAAAATGGTTGTCTACAAGATCCAACTTTGAGTTTTCTGACAAACAAAAAAACATGCTGAGATGTTAATAATATATATAATTTTACCAAGGTAGTATCCCATTTTCTCAGTCTTTATGTTCATGGAGACACTCCCAAAGGAGAAGAGATTCATTTGTTCATCTTTGGTTCTGTACTGAGGTGCCTAAACAAGACAAAACAAGTAAAAGAGAGGAAACTGAACCTTAAAACAAGGAACGTATGGTATAGATTAGAAAGACAGTGCATGGGATTTTCAATAATGATAATCTCACCATTAGTTCAGGATTGAACACATCAGGACTGGGGAAATAGAGAAACTCTGCTTTGGCTTTGCTAGAAATACGCATTGATCGGGATAGTTTTGTCTCCAAAGTATAGACAATTTTTCCAACTGAAGCTTTGAAGGTTGGTGGAAAGTGCCTATAAGAAAATAATGTAATAATGTAAAAACAGTCATTTTATTGCAGAAAGTAAAGTATCATTAAAAGTTTGAAATTCTTGAAAATAACATTGGCAAAAGTAATATTTATATTCAACATGTGCTATATTTACTTAAGGGTCAGAACAATGACATCTGCTGGTTGGGCAGTGATCTGCATTATGGACAATAATCATTGTGCCTATAAAATGATGTAAAAGACAAAAAGTTTAAATTGTTGCCCATTTTATTCTTTTTTTGTTTTGGTTTAAAATATTGGATTGCTTCCCTTTGCATGTCTCTTGAACAATGTTATGTGCAATAAAAAAAACATTGTATCACCACAGACTGGAGCACTAATGACTTCCCTGTAAGGACATCTTAATTGAGAAACACGAAAATATCAAGTAGTGTAATAGTCACTTTAAAAGGTTGAAATCCTCTTCATTGTGGAACTTTGTATGGATTAATTAGTTGACCTTGTTGGACTTGGGTTGTAAATTGTTGGGTTCTACAAAGCACAGGCTGTTGGGACTAGGACAATGACTGTGGATAAATGTAATTGAATGAAATTGCCTGAGGAAAGGCCTCGTAGTATGGGGAGAAGAAGTGATATGACTGCAGAGGGAAAGTACGTTTTCTGCGAATCCTTATGGAATATTCTCAATTGAAATGTTCATTTAAATATCTAAACATCTAAATCTAAATCTTTAGGCATATTGAGTTGAGATTTCGAAATAGAGGAATATAAGGAACCAGATGTTGCTAATGAAAGAAAACATTAAAAATGTAATCTCCTCATACAGAGGAAACTCTCAGATTTAAGTAGAAAATGTAATAGACAAGCAAGTGAAATTAATTAAACTGTTTAATTTGGAAACAGTTAAACATTTGGAAACATTCAAAAACTGTCTAGAGTTTACAGAATTACAGGCAACTGTAAAGGTTTTAATGAAAGATGATTGCAAGAAGGGAGTAGATCATTATGATTGGTTTGAACCAAAGTTAATTAATCTCAATGGTTCCCTTTTGATACAGTTCACTCGCATTGCATCAGTTTCTTAGCTGACGCTATTCAGTAACTCCGTTTCTCTGAATACTGAAGCTTGATTGGATCACGTCTGTGGACCTGCACAGACAAATGGCTTTTCGGCTTGCCAAAACGGGCGAGGTCAACTGCCTATACAAGTCAGCGATGGATGCCATTTTGTCAGAATCTTTCTCCTTCATGCGTGGAGATCTTATCCCCCCAAAGACGAGAAAAGAAGCCTTCCTGCTCGTCATGAGAAGAAGCCTCAGCAGTGGATTAACGTCGCTTCAGCAGCTGCAAAAGAGATGTTAAGCTTTCCCCATTGGAAGAGGCTACCGCCCCACACCTCTGCCCACCCACAGCTCTCGGATGGAAGACCAAAGCTGCCCACCCCTCCAAGCCGTGCAGAGCCACGTCGGCCTTGGCGGCCACTGCATATGGTGCGGCTGGATCCCCTCTTCACACAATGTGTGAAGTTTACCAAGTTTACCAAGACAAACTCCTCCGCTCCATGGACGAATCTGGACCCGGCTTCCTTTATACAGCTGCGCAGTGCCCAGCACTGTCCATAGCCCATGCGATTAGACGAGCGTGGGCCTATTTGGTGGTCCTCGAGTGCCACCTTTGGTTAAATTAAACGGAGATCAAGGATGCCGACAAGATGGCCCTCCTAGACTCCCGTCTCTCCAGTGGTCCTCTTTGGTTCTGCGGTAGATGGTTCTGCTGAGCATTTTACAGCAGCCCAGAAATCGTTGCAAGCCATGCGTCATTTCCTCCCGAAGAGGCAGTCCCAAACCGCCGCTGACTCAGCAGCACACCAGGCCAGCATATACGCCTGATCTACCCCAGCCCAAGGCAGAACCCGAGATCAGGCAGCCCAAAGCGCTACCCTTTTCCGTGGAACCAGGAATCCTAAGATAGTGCTGGACCCTGAGCAGCAGCCTAAGCAGTCCAGATATACCAGGCATGAAGAGGAGATTCAACCCCCTATTCAGTTCCAGGCATTGGGAACGTTGTTTTTGTTGAAAATGCTGAGTCCGCCCCAACAAGAGTGTACATACCCAAGCTCCTCACCACTTTTCCAGTGAGTCAAAAAAAAAAAAGAAAAAAAAAACCTTTCCCCGAAAAGAGCACTTATTTTTCTTGCACTATAACAAGCATCAGCTCTCCACCACAACGTGGCGACCCTCATCACAGATTGTTTTTCAGATTAGCGCTCAAAATATCCCAGAAACTGTTGGGCCTCATGGCAGCAGCCTCAACAGCAGTTCCTCTAGGTCTGCTTCATATGCGGCCCATTCAATACTGGCACAATGGCTGGCATTGTGAAATGGACACATCAATCTCAGGGTAACCCAGAGGGTAACCCAGAGTCTCAGTTCCCTGGAATTTGCCTGGACGGGCCTGATGCTGAACTGGCACATCAACAGCCTAGAAATGATGGCAGTCTTACTGGCCTTTTAAAGTCTTCCAGCCAGAGCTGACGGGGGACCACGTCTTGTCCCGATCAGACAACATGACAATGGTAGTCTTCATAAATCACCAAGGGGGACTCAGGTCACACCTCCTAAACAGGCTGGTGAGTCGCCTCTTCCTTTGGGCTCAGCACAATATCTACTTGGCGAGAGTGGTGCATGTGCCAGGGTCTCTGAACAAGGGAGCGGACATGTTGTCCTGGAACTGACCGCATCCGGGGGAATGGAGGCTCCACCCCCAGACGGTGCAGATGATTTGGAGTGTCTTCGGGCAAGGGGAAATAGACCTATTTGCCTCGAAAGAGAACTCCCACTGCCCAACGTTGTTCTCCAAGGAACAGGATGCATTGGCCTATGAGTGGTCCCCTTCAAGCCTGTATGACTTCCTGGAGGAAGCAGCTTCACTGGAGGAAATACATAAAGGCACAGCGAGGGCCATCTGTGGGCCAATGGATCTTTTTTCTTCAAGAAGAAAATCGGGCAGTGGAAGGTCTCTCTCGATGCAAAGAGGTTCACCTCTGCTTGTCCTAAAATGCAAACCATCTGGTGGTGGAGCCTCTACTCCCCCGGGGGCGGTACGTTCCGGGACAGCATATATGCTACAGTGTTCATGGAGCCTGGCACGTACAGCGCTCTTCTAAGTGAAGACATTGGCTATCCATTGCGCCCACAGGAGGAGGCGGCACGCCAACTTGTTCATCGGGTGAGACCTGAGACCCTTGGTGATTTATATAGGCTACCACTGTCCTGCTGTTCAATCGGACCAGGACATGGTGCCCTCTAAGCTCTGATTGGAGCTCCTTGAAGGCCATCATTTCCAGGCAGTTGATGTGCCAGTTTGTCATCGGCTCCGTCCAGAAGCCAAAGGCTGGCCGGTCGTTGCATAAGGCGCACCTAGCGAGCCTCCGAGCGAACTGGAGTGAGCGCTCGATTATTACCAAAACCCAATTCGACATGCCGGCTTAGCTTATCAATTTGGGTTTATAAGCCTGGCTCCATGCAGCGAGGGGTTGAACAGTGACCAAAGAAACACGCGAAAAAAGAGAGAGACTGACAAACCCCCAGCAAGTGCCACAAAGCAGGTTGCGATAACACAAGCATTTACAAATGCTACACAATATGAAAAGGATTAGTTTTTTTAGTTTTATACAAGTTATATTTTACTCTTAAGATGGCAATATTTACAATAATTTATTTTGTTTACAAAAAGAACTATTTTCTAAATTTTTTAGGAAACTTTCTTTTTACATTAAAACTTAATGACTTTTTTATAAGACGTTTTTATTTCAAGCATTGTATGCTCTGTTTGATTCAATAGAGCTTCACAGTCCCGCCCACAGCCCGAGAGAGCTTTGGTGCCGGAAGTAAATTTCCCATTCATTTCTCCCATTGACGTTTTGGAAAATCCGTATCTAAAGAGTTTTAGAGCATGTCTGAGGATAACCAGCTACGGCTGAACTCATAAGCAGTGCTGGGGAAAGTTACTTTGAAAAGTAATGCGTTACAATATTGCGTTACTCCCTTAAAAAGTAACTTATTGCGTTACTTAGTTACTTTTTTAGAAAAGTAATGTGTTACGTTACTTTTGCGTTACTTTTTTTCCACCTGGGCTGGGCTTGTTTTTTTATACCAAAAAAGATATATTTTTGGGCAAATGTAAAGAACAATTTGGGCCGGTCAAACAAACCTTTCAGCTGCTGCTGTTCTGGGTAACAGAAGAAGAGGATGCAGGAGAAACAAATTTAACACTTACTTTACCAATAAAAACATATAAAAAAATCTATAGTCATTTTTGCTTATGGTTTAAATGAAAAATCGGAGGTCAGAAGCAAGTACTTTGCTCAATAAAGATTAAATGCATAACAATTTGTTTTATTTAACATATTTAGGTATTGGAGGTTTGCATAGTGTTCTGATTCTGCATTTCGCTGATTTTATTCATTTTGAGGAATATTGAATCTTTTTTGTGCAAGTGAGATGAGTAAATCCACACTTACATTTAATCTAGAACTATAATAACCATCATGTTACACACAACGCCTCTGCACTTCGATTTGTCTCAACATTAGGACAGAAGAGCAGTCAGTCAATAAAGGTGAAAACAAAGTAACTTGCGTTACTTATTAGAAAAAGTAACTCAGATATTTTGTTGTAAATTTTAAAAGTAATGCGTTACTTTACTAGTTACTTGAAAAAGTAATCTGATTACGTAACTCAAGTTACTTGTAATGAGTTACCCCCAACACTGCTCATAAGCATACAACATATCATTTCGAGTGAAAAAACGAAGAGAAAATCCAAAAAAAGTCAAAGGTACAAGACTGTGTACATATTTTCATTTCCGAGCGAAGGAACTACTCATCCCATAAACCACCGCGCCTCACTGAATTCGACTGAAGCCACAACCGCGAAAGAGCCTTTTGAGCGACTTCCAAATCTGACGACGGCCATGTTAACTTTTTCCTCCAGTGAATTATATAGTAAATGTGCAGGGAAACTCCTTTTCCTCGATTTACTGAAGCTTATATGTAAAACGCATTTGCAGCTGCACAGCTAACACATTGAGCATCTGGCTCGCTCATAGGCTGTGCTGCAGCAACTGCACATCCAATGGCGCAGGCGCCTCTGACGTGCGACCAATGAACTAGACCTACGTCATTACACGATCTTCAGTCTTCACGGACCTTCACAGGGTTTAACCAGACACGTTACACGACTTCCACCAATCAGATGCATCACTGTGGGATTGTTGGATTGTTCAGGATTGTAGGTAATGAAGTACTTATCCAATACATTGCGAATAAAAGGCATTTATCTTAAAACAAGGTTAGCGCCCCATGAACTTTTGGCGTTTATATGAGCATATACAATCACTTAGTACAGCCGTAGCTGGTTTTAAGTCTTCCATGTATGGTTATGTTTTTATGGCTTATACCCCAACTGTCAATGGAGAAATTGTATTGATTTTTTACTTCCGGCACCGGCTGTGATGTGATGCTCTATTGTTTGAAATATTTAATAAATAAGCATTAAAAGCTATCTGTGTTTCTCCTTATTTTAGAATCACAAAGATAGGATTATGCACTCTTTCATTAGAAAAAATAACCGTGAACATATTTACAGTATTAGCCTTGCCAGTGACATATGAGAAAAAAAAAAAAAATCAAATAATCGTTCAATAATCGTAATCAAGGTAGCTTGTTCGATTAATCGCGATTATGATTTTAGCCAAAATCGTCCAGCCCTAGTTTATACCTCTCCCTAATCAAACACACCTGATTCAACTCATCAGATCATTAGTAAAGACTAAGCTAAGGCCTTGTCCACACGGAGACCCATTTAGCTGTATACGTAAAAAATTTGTATCGTATTGGCGTTTCGTCCAGACGGAACCAGTGTTTTGAAACCGCTATTTTTGTAAACCCGGTCCCACAGTGGATAAATCTGAAAACGACACCCTTGCGTTTCATGTGTACAGCCAATCCATATATTTTGTGAAACGATGTCGACCCTAGTCAGACACCACTACTTTGGCCCTGTACCAAATGGCGCACTTCATGCGGACTTTCGGTCTCGTGGACTTAAATTGCGCGTGCTCGCAGAGTCTACGAGTCCGTAGGCCGTCCCATTTAGCATTTTAACGCTCTGAAGTGTGCTCAGCAGCGCCCCCTTTGTACCATTGAAGCCGTCTTCCGCGAAGCCCGCATAGATGCCGGCTCCACGCACTTTAACTACCCAGGAATCCTTGCGAAAGGCCAATCAGACAACGGATGGGAGGAGATTTCGCGCACGGACAATTGTTAACATGGCTGAGAAGAAAATATTTAAGTGTAATTATCATTACGGTTTTTATGACAAGTTTATACAAACATTATGATCATCGACCAGTGGTTGATGTCTCACTCTCAAACATAGGCTAATAATAGTGAGCTGAATTATACGATCGCATTATGATTCATTAAATAAATAGAAAAGAATGTCAGGGCTTTACTGAGTCATTTGTAAACACAACAACAATAGGCAGCATATTTCCCCGAACCTGTAGCTCCTGTCCATAACAACAATCAGACTGTCTTCCTGTTTCCGGCGTGACGATCGAGTCTGTCCCAAAAACACCTCTCAATGCGCCCTCACGGACTCGCGCTAAGGGCCCTATAGGTCTGCACTACATGACGTCACCGAAGTGTGGACTCTGAGGAAGTCCACAAGTCCGGAGTGTGCCATTTGGGACAGGGCCATTGCGTAACAGCAACAACAACTGCGGACTACACGCACGAGATAGTTACCAATGTAATTAGTACTAACGTAAAACAAGAAACCCAAGTTTTGGTGGAAGCAAACATGAAAGCTGTTAGAAAGCATGTGAATGTACAAACCCTTTCACTGCTCAAAATAAATAAATAAATAAAAATCATGTGCAATCACATTTTCATTCCCAAGTTGTACACCAGGTCTTCTGAAAGAATGGACTTCTGCATGTTTCTGGGAGACTTAGCGAATTGGCAGTGCCAGAAGATAATGGTTTGTTTAGTGTTTTTGTTCTTGTAGTAGACACTCAACAAACAAAAGATGACATATAACAAAAGATGTCAGACGTGTTAAGAAAAGTAGCCTTAGACCTTCCCCCCTTTTGTTGGAATAGATTATTGTAAAAAGAGGTGATGACATCAAAGGTACAGTGTTATTTATTTCCATGCCTTACAATAATTCACTTTTTAGTGCCTGAGGCAGATCAGATACAATTATTTGTTATAGGTTACCTAATAAATAATTCACAATACCCCTCACCCAACAAGTGTAAGATTTTATGTGGTACTACCCCCAAACTGCAACTAACATCCCGATGCAGAACAAGGCACTGGTTATAACACAGCAGCAAAGACAAACCAGGAAGATAAAACTGTATTAAGACCCAAAAAAAATTTTTTAGAGAGATTTACTCTCACTTCATTCACTTTGAAACACACAAATAAACCTTCTAATCATATACAACCACTAGAGAAATGTGTATGCTAAACATAGGCCTATCCCATTTTCCAATCTGATGGTTGTCTTTTTGCATTGTTTTGACTATGTGTTCATTTTAAATGTACGTTTTAGATTTGCATATTGTTAACCAAGAAGATCACATAGGCTATAACCAACATGCAGGGGGAAGAACATTTCTGGTTATTAAAACTTTTAAAAAGGCTAAAGTTGTGTTCATTTGCATGTATTTAAGGAGCAAAGCAAAGGTTTTACTTATGCTTCAATTTTTACCCTACTTGACACTTTAGTTGTTTGCGTATAAAAGATCATAGCCTACTTGTCGAAATGCAACAAACCCCGTAACTTACTGTCGAGGTAACTGAAGGGTGAATGGGTAAACATGACGGCCTGGTGCAACAACCGAAGAATCTAACAAATCAAAAATCAAAGCAGAGCTCAGCATGTTTTTCAGATTAATTTGTAAAGCTCTTTTTGTAAGATTCATCCATTCCACGACCAGACTTACACGGCTGTCCTGATGGATCTCTCAGCATCATCTCATGGTCATTACCTACAAGATCAAGTTACAGTACAACATAAAGCTGGTTAAATCGACCTGAGTTCTCCTAATTGTTACCAAAAAAATACAGCTGTAGTTCCTCCTACCATGTGTTTTGTTCTCCCGAACGAAAAACCTCTCCACGGAATAATACTTTTCCTTATCGGAGTAAACAACAGTGCTTTTGTGACGCTCCCTCCAGCAAACCTCTGCTTTCCCTTTGATTTTTACACTCAGCGACTGCATTTTCGTGTCCTTCGCTAGATCCAAAATGACATGTCCCGATATAAAATCCCCGCTAGAGAAGGTATTGTTCTGATTGATAGGACTGTATATTATAGAAATGTTTTTCACAGTGACGGACATCGCGTCTCCTGGTGCCAGTATCCGCTTCTGACGTTTGATCCCAATGGAATATCCCTTTATAGCAGCACGCGCTTCCTGCAGGAAACTATATATAGGCTATATATATGTGGTCCTGTCTATATAAAGCAAAACTGCTGAAAATACAAGAAACAAGCCATAAGGTCACATTAACAGCCTGCTGACCAAGAGATTGTGTTCAGTCACAAATCTAAGGATAAAATTCTGCTGCACTGAAGGTTCCAAAGCACAGTGGCCTCCACCATTTGCCAAAAGTATTTTTTTTTTTTTCAAAGTGCTTGTCAAAGTGCCTAAAGGTCTAGATACTTGTCACAATCTTGTCTTTGCTTTGTCGTTATGGGGTATGAAGTAGCCTATAGATGTGAAGTGATATGAAGTGAATGTGTTTAAGCATTTTAACATACAGCCTGCGACAACAAAATATAAAAAGATGAACCGGTCTGATGTATACTACAGTGTTTGAGAGTAGGCTAGTTTCAAAGTACACATTGTTCGCAGGCAGCCAAGACCATATGGGGCATTATGCAAAATTGTTACAAACCAAGGACACTGATCTCCACCTCTCTGGACGTCATGGGTGGAGCTTGACCTGGTCCATCTCCATCCCTGTGGATCTAATGGGTGGAGGGATTTAGTTATGGGTAGGGTTAGGGTGTGGTTGAACATTCTACCTCCACCCATTATGCCCAAATTACATCCAGAGAGGGGGAGCTGGACATCACGCTCCACCCATGGCTCTGCAGTGAGCAGCCTCTTTCTTTATTACACATTATATGAAAGGTATAATATATTCAGTATATGATATTACCTTTAGAAATAAGAAATGTAACTGCCTGGTAAGGTTTGCATAAGAAATCCCAATTCTTATACAATCCAAATGTTTCTGAAACTGTGTTTAAAATTGTATTTCTGCATAACAATCTTGGTCTGTTTTTTTTTAATTGTCCACTAGGTGGCAGCACGCTACATGTGAACAAATTTGAATGTCGAATGATACCATTATTTACAAATAAATGTTGCATATAGATTTTTATAACAGTTACTGTAATGGGATCTAAATAATGAGCCCCTTACATTTACAGAAAAAAAATGCCCCTGTGACAACAAGCTTGGACCCCCTTGTGGCCCCCTTAAATGTGGAGTGTGAAATATTTTTTTACAGTGTCACGCGCATTGAGAGTGACAGTCACTCATTTCGGTCTTTTGTCACGCACTCCCGCCACACATTGTATTTCTCATGCGGAAAAACTATTTATGGGTGTTTCTGCAACTACGGGCACTTTTGACTATCCCAATTAAAAAAAATTCAACCTCTATGAATTTCAATTTTAACCATCACAGTCTGTAATACATATAAAAATTTACACAAAATAGAATGTAGTCGTTAAGATTTTAATCTGGAACATGTTTATTTTTTATGTTTTTCGGGTCATCTTCTTAAAAAGTGTCCTTACCGCAACTTTACAATAACGTTCATTTTATACATTTTTCTTTAGTAATTTCTATAAACATTTTTAATATATTTAAATAGCTTTTTCAAATTTGATACAGTTTTGTAAATACTGATATAATACAATAATATTCAAAATAGGGAATTTCATGTTTTTTTCTATGCCATGTAAAAAAATGTACAGTAACCTTAGATGTCAATTGTTTCCATACACACAAAAGATGACATTTAACTTTTTATGACAGATGTTGCAATTTCAATGTGTTAATCATCTCAGCTTAAGTGTAAAAATATTTTTTTTGCAAATGAAAATGTGAAAAAAAAAATGAAAATAGCAGTGCTGCGGTAATGACATCTTGTGTCGGTAAGGACACAATGTTAAACTGCCACGAAATCAAAAACAGGCTTCTGTGTTAAAAAAAAAAAAAAAAAAAAAAAAAAAACATGCTACAGAAAACAAAAGGTATTGCATGTGTAAAAGATAGTAGCAGTTTTGCAGTAAATAACTATTTTAATTGACTCTAACTCTTTTAACTGCTTCAAAAATATTGTCTCCTAAAGTTGATGATTCATGTTTATACTAATATATATATACTAATATATATATACTAATATATGCTTCAGTACTAATAATATACTGAATATTAGTAATTTAATATACAGTAAAGCTTAAATGTGTCTCTACCGCAACAGAAGGTCTTTACCGCAACACCTAAATTTGCTGCGGTAAAGACATGTTGCGGAAATTACATTTTTGCTAATATTTTAGCTAATTGGCAGCTAGCAAGGCCTACCACATTAGTTTTGACTCTTATAATATACACGAATTCAACAGTAATATACATTTATTTTTAAAATGAAGTTCAAAATACACAATTATTAAGCTGAATGGTAAGGACGCACAATAAATACTAGAGCAGAAAAGATGATGTTTAACTTATTTTTTTGGTATCTTGTGAGTGAGGTAGTGTGGTGGCCCAGTCTGTCAGCAATGTGGTCAAGTGATAATTTCCATAGAAACTAGACTTGTTTGGGTTCGATAAAACTTCATAATAAAAGCTTTTTTTCATTGTTGCGGGCGGTAAGGACTCAAAAGTGTGGGACAGGCACATTTAGTTAAAAAAAATCATAAAAATGATCAGTAAATAATACAAAGAATTTTAAGGTGCTGTAAATGAATCTGTATATTAAACAATTCCATTTGAAATAATGTCAAATTGTAATTATTAAATTAGCTTATTTTATGTATCTCAACATTGAGACCACAGGTGTGGGACATTAACAAAAATGGTGTTTTGAGCTATAAATGCTTCATAATAGTCAAGTCGAGTCAAGACACCTTTATTTATATAGCGCTTTTTACAATACAGATTGTATCAAAGCAGCTTCACAGTGATAACATGAAAATAATATAACAAAGTTTGTTTCTAAAAGAAAATTGCGTCAACGTCCACCTTAAGTAAGGCAGATCAATAATATTATTGAATATTAAATGTCCCCAACTAAGCAAGCCAAAAGCCAAGGCAACAGTGGCAAGGAACCAAAACTCCATCAGGTGACAGAATGGAGAAAAAAACTTGGGAGAAACCAGACCAGAGACTATTTATATACCAGACTCAGTCGGAGGGCCAGTTCTCCTCTGGCCAACGAAGGAACAGTGCATGATTCGGGCAGCATACAAGTCAGATTGGATCGTAACATTTAGAGTATTTATCCATTTCCATCTTTTTGGAAGTCCAAGTAATCACACCGGTATTGAGACGAGTTGTTGAGGATCAGTGCCGTCCACCAATAATATTATATTTAATCACATTAATCAGTAATTATATTTTTTGTCAAGGTGTGTAATGGCACTGTGGATATATTTATGAAACATCAAATGACAAATTTGAACATAAATCAAAAATTTCACTGCTGGGACTTAAAAGTGCCCATAGTTGCAGAAACATCCTTATATTTAATATGCCGCAATTTCTCTGGCCGCGCCGCTCTCACTATGGAACCGGCGGGAATCAAGCGCGTCTCCCCTGGAGTTCTGCAGTCGACCCTGCCACTTATCAGCCAATCAAAAAAAGAAAGGTGCTACTCAATAGCCAATCAGAAAATAGCACTATTGTATCTGGGTACGATTTAATGCAACAACCAATGAAAAAAAAGCATATCCTGGAATTGGTCACGTGATTCTGCTACAACATCTTCCGAAAGTTTCGTTCAACCACAGATGAAACTAACCACTGGAGCTCATAGCATCACTTTGAGCACAGAGTAAGTCATGATCTCCTGTTTTAATGTTACAACAAATCCACAACTTGTTTGACACAAACAATGACAACTTGACTGCTGTTAGAGAATGTTTCCCAGATAATTAGCATCAGTTTTTCATCATTGAGTGTCTGTAACTTAGCCAAAAGTTTTACAGCCTGTTCACTGACAACACCTGCTCAGAACAATCAGTCTAGGTCTAGTCATATTTGCATTATCACACGATGACTGACATATTGTCACATTATAAACATCTCTCTCTCCAAATAGGCTTAATAATTTTATTAGCACTAAATTAAAGAGTATTGCATAGTCGATGTTATAGGTCACTTTTAAAATCATATTTTATAATTATATCCTGGCCATGGATGCATTAATCATTGCATCTGTCTTTCAAAGATGTCAAGTAAAAAGCAATTATGCATCCTCTCGTTCACCCTGAGAGGAAAGCCCCCTAAAAAGGCCAGTTTAGAGGATAATTTGCTGATCTTTTTGCAAAAAAAAACCCCCATCTATAAGTTTTCCCTATCCATAAGTTAGTGATTTTAATATATGCTATATGCAGTTTATATAATATTTAGAATAAACATTTTTGTCATACAATGAGTAGAGTATACACAAATAAATTTAAAGTGCCCCTATTATGCTATTTTAAAGATTCCTATTGTTGGATGTCTCCCAACAATAGGTTTACCTGTAGGCCGATCTAAGGTAAAAAAACAAAAACAATTTAAAAACTCCTTTCCGTGAGCCTACACTGCTCTGATTGGTCAGATGGTCCAGTCTGTTGTGATTGTTCTACAGCTTACAGCGCATTTTGGAAACTAAACGCCCATTATCATATCTGAATTTCAGCTCCAGACATACAGTGATGAACAGTCGATGGTGTCATTTTTACTGTAACAATTCGAGCCAGATTCTTCATCTTTGGGAAGTGCATGCTAAGTGGATTAGCTTTCGCAGCACAGAAAAAGGCATCTTCTCGACATGTTGACAACACCTTCCAAGCCTCAGCTACAACTAGAGGGTAAAAGAAGTAGACATTGTTCGCAGGCAGCCAAGACAATATGATGTATTATGCAAATTTGTTACAAACCAATATAGAACACTTTGGTCTTTATTACACACTACATCTACAATATACACACTACAATATATATATATATATATATATATTGCCTGGTAAAGTATCACACGATTATCATTAGCCTACGGTTATATGCAAAATGTTTAAAGGTCCCATGACATGGGGTTATTTTATTATTTTATAATGTTTCCTGGGTTGCCCTTATAATGT